CAACCCAGGTTGGTGCAAACCCGATCGGGCCGAAAACGCTATATGTATGAAACAGTACTTTCCACCTTCTCTCTCCCCTATGGGGGCTCCACTACGAAAAATCCAACCTAACCCACCACATATTTTTGTATGAATGTACTCTTTCCATATACCTACATACTTTTCATAAATTTTTACATAGTAGCTTATTTATAAAATTATGTTTTGCACACAAATTTTTTTAAAGCAACTATGTGTTTTCTTTTCACCAACTGATTCATCTCATTATTCTGTTCGTAAAAGTATTAAGGTACGATTATCAAAAAATTAATAGTTTACGGGATATTTAATATTTTATGCCTACGACAGAATAAAGTATAAAATATCTCGTTAATTATTGGTTTTTTGCTATCACTACCTTAATACTTTTATATGCAGAATAATTGGAGGAACCATATTGTGTAAAAAGAATTATACAATTCCATTTAAAAAAGTGGAAGTGATCTTCATATCTTTTTAGCGTCTCCACCTAGAAAAAAGGCAACATAACCAAAATACGTCCCTCTAAATCCATGTAACTTTTGTTTGGCACTTTTCTTTCTTATTATAAACAAGCGAGTTATTCAGGTGACCTGTTTTAAATGCTCTGTATATGTATGATAAATGTATATGGGACATTCCACGCCGAAAAAATCGGATAGTCTTCGTTATCGACTCCTGCCGACTTTTTTTAGTGATTTTTTAAATGTATTTCTCATATTAAAATATGTATTTTGTTACTTTTTTTATATTTTTATTTCTATTCGTTTCCTAGATATGAATTTGTTAATATTTTTAATTTATTTTTTTTCATAAATGTTTAATTGAACATAATTTCTGTTTAAATTATTGAAAAAAAATAACCACATTAAATTGTCTTAAAATTCTCTATTTTTTAAGAAAAAAATATTTTCAAAAACTTCAAGTTTTTGTTTATACTTGAAAAATCTGATTGAAATAAAAAAAGTCGATTTTCAAGTCAAGATCGACATTTTTAAACAAATTCAAGTAAAGAAAAATACAACATTTATAGATTCTTTAAATTAATACAATCAAAAAATAACGGCAAAATACAAATGGGCGTTAGGAGTCAGCGCTAAAATCATCATTCCGTGTACATTTACTTATTATTCATCGCCATTGGATCTGCTATTTTCAATTCAACAATTGTGATTACAGTATAAGTAATCAAAGACTTACAAAACCACCAAATATCGATTTTCATGCACGGATTTTTTAAAATTCTTGTTCTCCATATTGGATCCGCCATTTGCACATTTTTTACTTCAGATTTGAAATCAGTGACTAAAAAAGACTACACAACATGCTCCTGTATTCGGAGGCTATGTGTCAGACTCGAGAGAGGATATCGCGCACTGTAGGTGACGCACAAGCTGCTTTGGAGTTTTAAATTCAATAACTTCTGAACAAATGATCGGAAATTAGTTTTTCAAAAAAGGATTTAAACTAAAAACATACAGCTATAAGTATAAATTGTCAAATATTTTTTACGATTGTTTTCTTTCGAATTATTTGGTTTTATATTTTAGAATTTTCAATTTTTTTCGGTTTTTACGATTTTTCCAAAGTTTTTGTTTGCGGTTTGCATAAAACAATTTTATAAGCATCGGAAAAATATTTTTGGTATTGTTGGAACATTTCTAAGTTAAATGCCGCAAAGCAGACCTCGATATAATTTTTTGTTTAGCTGGAAAAAATTAATTAAGAACTTCCGAAAAAACTATTTTTGCGATTATTAAAAAAATTGAGGGTAATGGAAAAAAACGGACAACGTAGTCGCTTTCAGCGCATCAAAATCCTACGGAAACATCTTTCAAAGCACAAGACCCCCCCTAAAAATGTTTTGTCGGCTGTGTAATTAAGGCTCTTGAGTAGTCACCACAGCCATATTGAATCGTGACGTCAGACACTAGAAATAACACGTAATCAAAGTTAACGTCATATATTTCTTTATTCTTACGTCACGATTCAATATAGCTATGATGACTATTCAGGAACTTCAATTATCAATAAGTTGAATACAAGTTTTTGCGTAACGATAGAATAATTTAATATGGGTGGCACCCAGTTGGACACGGCTCAATTGGACACGAGCCACTCAGCGCTTGAGACTACAAAGCTCCTAAGCACCGGTCGATGTGATTGGTGGTGTCCAATCGAGCCGTGATCAATCGGGATCACCCCGTTTAATATTCTGCTTAATTTAATTCTCATGATGTTATCTGTTTGCAGGAAAAATTTAATATTTTTAAAATTTTTGGAATGTTGAAACAGAAGAATAATAAAGTTATACTAATAGCTCATAAACTGATAAAAGTCCAAGACATACGTAGCAGTTTAAATACATTATCATTATTGTCTTCTGCAGTTCGCCCCATGCATTACCAGTAAGATTTTATATGAGAGTCTACACTTCCTTCTTATTGAAAGCAGTAAATTTCTTAGGGAGAATTCATACTTTGACAGATGCCAATCACTCGCGTTGATAGAAAAATCGAAAAGCACAGTGTACTATTTACTACCAGTGCGAGTTCCTATTGACTGCGTTCAGCAGAGAAAACCAATCAGCGCTTAGTGATTCTTTAATATGATTGGTTCCTGCACTTAGATCCAGCGAAGAACTAAAGGTAAGAACCAATCATAAGCGCTAACTGATTAGTTCTCTCTACTGAACGCAACCAATGGCTTCTGCTTTTTTGTCAAGGTGTGAATTCTTTCTTAAGCTTTATGTCCACGATGCTAAAAATCGGACCTCGAATGAAGAAAGAATCGACCAATCGCAATGGTCATGTGATCAAATTGTTCAAATTTAATTTGTTAATTTTTTTTGAAATTCTCGAGATCTCGGACCAATTTCTAGCATCGTGGACATCGGGCTTTAGAAGGAGCAGAATAGTTGTGAGCAGAGATTTAGTACTTCTGTGATACATAAAGCTAGTGTGATCAGATCTAAACTAGGACATTCCTGATCGATTGAAAAGTAGTACAAAAGTAGGATACTAAGATTGAAAATAGGACAAAAAAAGAGGACATTTTAGTTTAAATTGTAGTATAAAATAAGTTGTATATTTAAATTCAAAAGTAGAAGAAAAAAAGTGCATTTAAAAATCCTAAGAGAGAACATAAAAATATGTATTAGTATTAGTAAAAAAAACGGCTATAATATAATAATATACAGTACTTTTCAAATTTTGTTATCATGAATACATAATAATGATCTAGTGATTAGTTTACTATGTATTTTATGGACCATGAGCTTAATGATTTCCGGTCCCCTCTCTCTCTCGGCCTTGCTAAATCTAACTCTTCCGCTACTTCCCTCAATATCTCTCTTGATCACCTTAACACCTTTACCTCTGCTCACCTGTTGTCCTCTACTAACACAATTTCTCACATTTCCACCGATCACGCCAGTCATTTTGCCCCTTCTAACTCTCCTACTTTCACACCTTCCAATTTCTCTATCTCATATTCAACTGCCACTATGACGCCCTCCCTCTTTTTCTCTCTCTGCTCTCCTCCGATTTCTGACTTCAATTCGTCCTATCTTCTTCATATAACGCCAGAAACTTTGGATAAACTCTGTCTAACTTCACTGGACCTGACGATATTAACCGTTGTCTATTTATGCTTAGTTTGCCTATTACCTTTCCTATTATCCTTGATTTATTTAATCTTGTATTCCTCCACTTTCCCATCCATCTGGAAGCTTTTTGACGTAACCCCACTCCCTAAACTAAAAAATCCTCAATCTCTGTCTGATTTTCGACCCATCTCCAGTCTCTGTTTCCTCTCGAAAGTCCTTGAGCATATCGTGTATGACCAATTCTCCTCTTTTCTTGATAACTCGCAACTCATCGATCCATTTCAAACTGGCTTTCGGAGGGGCCGTAGTATGCAATCTGCACTAGTCAAGTTGACCGACGATGTCAAGTGGGCCATCGACAAAAGAGTAGTCACTCTGCTTGTCCATTTTTACTTTTCCAAGGCCTTTGACACTCCCATGACCTGTTTTTTCGTAAAATGTCATCCAATCTCTCGATCTGCTCCTGGTTCGAGTCCTACTTATCTGGGAGATTTCAGCGAGTGCGAGGCCCCGACGGCGCTTTCTCGTCGTGAGCGCCCGTTGAAACAGGTATCCCTCGGGGCTGTGTCCTTGGGCTTCTACTGTTCTCTCTTTTCATTAATGACTTACAGCTCTCTATCAAATACTGCAAGCATATCCTTTACGCCAATAATCTTCAGATCTATATCCACTGTTATCCTCAAGCCTTGAACAGGCGGTAAGTAAGGTTAGGAAGGACATTGCTGCTATCGAGCTTTGGACTGGTAATAACTCTCTTGGGTTTAATCCGCACAAAACAAAAACTATGCTCACGGGCACTTCAATAACATTGACACTTTTCATGAAATAGAACTTAAGATAGATGACTTACTTATTAAATTCACCAATCAAGTTACCAACCTGGGTGTTTACTTCATGAACACTCTAGGTTGATCTGAGCAGGTCAAAACCATCTCCAATTGTGTTAATAGGGTCTTATGGCGGTTCAAATATTATAAGAGCAACTTGAACACTCCTCTGCGTGTACAGCTAATCACCTCTCTCGTATTTCCATTTTTTTAATTACCGCTGTGCAGTTTTCACTGATCTAACTGGTCAGCAGAGACTTAAACTCAAGCGACTCATGAACGCCTGCGTTTTATTTACAATTGCGTATTAACGATCACGTCTCTGATTATTACAGCATGCTTGGATGGCTCTCCGCAGATGCCAGAAGAACTTATCTTGCTGTTTTCTGTTCTCTATCATTCGCTCTAGGACTCCCTCGTATGCTTCTAATTTCCTTACATAAGCCCTTGTGATCACATCCGCGTCTCTCCTCTTGACCTTGTCGTTTCCTCCTGTAGAACTACATATCAACACTCTTTTTTTCAACGTCGGAGCTACAATGTGGAATTCACTTCCGAGCTTAATTAAGGAATCTGATTCCTCATATACATTTAAACGTGAGCTCTTTCGGCATCTGTGGCTGCAGCAGACGAATGGCCAGTTCTCGTAATCAGTTCTTATTACTTCGCTACATTAGCTTTCCTTTTTCTCTTTATTAGTCAATAATATTTTAAAGTTATAACCTTTGTATCTAGTATACGCATTTCTTTCACGATCTTATGTAATATAATCTTATCACTATTTATATTTTAAATTTACAATCTTCGTACCTAGTATATACTCACTTTTTTATGATCTTATGTAATATAATCTTATCACTATTTGCATTGCTTTAACTATCTTACATAATAAGTTTTATTATTATTATTATATAATATCTGGAGTACCTATCATGAAATATGTCGGAATATGGATTCCGATCGGAATTATTCCGTTTTCCCTAGAAAACACAATAGAAATCTAGAGAATAATTGAATAATTCCGATCGGAATCGATTCCGACTTGTTCTATGATAGGTACCCAGCTCTGTAAAATCTCTTCCTTTTGTATTCTTAGAGGGCTCGCCCTAGAATATCCAAAGAATAAAGAGAAACAGGAGGGAATGTTTGGTTCTAACAATAAGCAAGCGGACGGAAATGACTATATATAGCATAAAAAGTGGACGCTTAAGATGACTGCCATGACGTACATCTGTCCGCGGATTTAGCTACTCCCACTATTAATACGTTTCTCCTCCTGTTTCTCTTTACTCTTTGAGTATACATTAGTATACATACGATAAAGTATAACCTCCAAAATATAAAATTCTCATTATTACTAATAATACTAACCGATGAAAGGTTATCCCATAATTTCGAGCTGAAGTTAAAATTGTTACACCACACGCCCAACAATGCACCATGGTGCTCTTTACAATATTTATTAATAATGAACTGTTTTGTGTTGTTCAAGATCTTTCTCCTGTTAAAACTGTCGTATAAACATTTAAAAAAGTGAACGCTTAAGATGGCTGTCATGACATACATCCGTCCGCGGATTTAGCTACCCCCACTATTGATACATTCCCTCCTGTTTCTTTTTACTCTTTGAGAATATCAATAAACGCTTCTCTCTCCTCCGCCCCTCTCTCCCCCTCTCCCCTTTCTCTCTCTCCCCCTTCCACCACTACTCTCTTGCTCCCTCCCGCCCGTTCTCCCTTTTTCCCTCCCTTCCCGGACACGTTAACAATCTGGCCGGACATGGTCGGACGCTTTAAAAAAAAGTGCATATCCGGGAAAAACTAGACTGGTCTGGTCACACAATATAAAGCACTTTGGTATCCACAATATATAGAGATTATGACTTTTTACAGGTATAAGGAGTTGAAATAAAGCGCAAAGACAGAGTATTTAAATGAATCTTCCATTTTTCTGCACATACATTTCAACGCTGGATGTTAAAAGCTAGTGTTATCACTGCAATAAGAACATTATTTAATCGAAATATGAGTATATTTACGCAATGTTTGAATCCTCTCACTGGTGTTGCTTCGTGGGAAGAGAAAGATCAATATTACGATTATCATCAAGAAGTAGCTAGATCTGCCTTTGCAGACATGCTACATGACCATGAACGAGTCAGTATCTTTTTATATTTTTACTCATTGATAACACTGATTTACACACACAACGTTTTTGTTTCTCAACTCCTGAGTGGTGAATCTTTTGTATTTTTAGCTGTTCAAAAAGAATGTATAAGATTGAAGAAGATTCATTACCTGCAGATTTTGAGAGAAATTAACTTTATTTTTTTAAATCTCTCCATAAATTTAAACAACTTTTTTTATTACTTCACGAAGTAAAATGCATAAGAATCACAATTTAGATAACAAGAAATAGTAATATTGTAAATCATAATTAATAAATCATAATTTTTTTACATTAAGCATTATCAATAAAAAATAAAATCAAAGAAATTTTTTACTTAATACCATTATATTTATTTTCATATATTGTAAAAAATATATTAGTTTTTGCAGCTTACTGTTACATACATTACGAATTTGATGTAGATAACAAAATGTTCCTTGGCATAAGAAAAGAAATAGGTGCTTAGCACAAGTTTCTCTTCAATTGTTATCATGTTGCTGTCACAGGGCAATAATAATTTCGTTTAGGACAATCTAGAGGCATTATGCGGACAACGGTTGTTTGCGCAAACGAGCGGAAACGCTGTAGCAAATTTATTGCCATAAATGTTGCTACAATCTGTTGGAATCGTTTTTGTAAAATATTTAGTCTACATTTCTGTCAATTGAATGGAAATGGAGCGTCGTCGAGCAGTTTGCGGCACCGCCACCAGAAGGATGCATCAAGATAAAGCAAGTTAAAGGGCCTAGCACCGAATAAGCATATGAAAAATGCCCTCAAACCAAATCTAATTTTGAGTACGTCACATTGTTAAGCTCGATAAAAGATTATTTTACATAAAATTGCATTCTGCTAAACTTATTTATGTAATAGTAATGGCGAAAAACGTCAATTTTAATTTTTTATTTTTCTACCGTGTGAATTAAAAAATCTGAAAATATTTGATACACTTTTTTGTATGATATTGCATTAAAAAAAATTTTTTATAGATTTTTGACAAAAAATTTGAATTAAAAAAAATGAAAAAGTTTTTAAAGAATGCTTTTTATTGAAGATATTTGGGTACCGTCTTAAAAAAATTATGGTGAATTAATCATTCCATAATGAATGAAATATGTCGTTATATTCAAACTTTTTTAAAGATATGGAGCATTGTTTTAAAAATTAAAAACCAGTTTTTTGATACTTTTTGTTTGTATTTTCTCGCAGAAATATTTTTAATATAATATTATATTTATACACTATCATTATATTTATACATTATTATAATTATACAAACATTATTTTGAATTATTTTACGCAATATAACATGTGCAGTTAAAAAATGATTAAATTTTATAAAGTTTTTTTTGTACATTATCGATGAAAACCGATGACTAAATTGTAGATCAAGAACGATTCATTTTATATGATGAATTTATGATAAATTCCTAGATATCCATTTTGGAAAATCAGATGGAAATCTGTGAAATTTTATCCGTATATTTCATATACGTTTAGATAAGTTTTCCAATTCACTAAAAAATAATAGAACCTTATAGATTTAGTTTTGTATACCGCCGATAGAAACTCAGAACAAATTTCAGATTAATAACGATTTTATTTTTATCGTTAATATACGATTGATTGTTATTCGTTAAGTAAACGATAGAAACGGATGAATGCCAATTCGTTATTTTACTATTCTTTTAGATACAATTGATTGTATACGATAAAAAGAGATAGAGTTTCTATCGTTAGTTTGCAACAGAATATAAATCTTATAGGAACCAATAAAATACGATAGGATTTATATTTGATGCTTCAAAGGTTAACGATACAACTTATAGAAAACGATACAAATTGATAGAAATTATATCATTCTCAATCATTCTCTATCAACTTTTTTTTATCAGTGTTTTTTATGTCAAGGAACGTTTTGTTATCTGGGAAGTAATCGAATTAGGAAAATTAAAATATCATACATTCGTTTGGTAGAATGAGAAGTATTACCTTGCCCTCAAAGCTGCTATTGAGAAGAAACATCAGGCCGGTGAAGAGGCTAACGTTCTTGACATAGGCACTGGAACAGGGTTGCTGTCGATGATGGCTGCCAGGTGCGGAGCAGATACTATAACGGCATGCGAGGTAAGAGAAAACTTTTGAAACCTTTTTCAAAATTCTTGAATTTTTCAAAGATGCTGCTTATGCAGAAAGTCTTATTTAGGCTTTCAAACCAATAGCCAAATGCGCCGTACAAATAATAAAGGAAAATGGCTTCGATGATAAAATTCAATTGATCCGTAAGCGTTCTACAAAAATGATAGTAGGTAAAGATGGTGACATGCCAAAACGCGCAAATATTCTAGTTACTGAAGTGTTTGACACTGAGCTGATTGGTGAAGGAGCGTTATCAACATTCCGCCATGCACACGAGGTTCTTCTCGAGGTAATATCAAGCTTGCAAATGATCCTGTTCAAAATATGCTTACGCTTTACTTTTACATTAGGAAGACAGCATTATCATTCCACACAAAGGAACAGTATGGGCACAAGTAATCGAAAGCTTCAAAGTCTGTAGTTGGAACCGGGTGAAGCCTATTAAGAACGGAGAAGTATTGGTTGATACTCCACCGACTATCCAAGCATGCTCTGGTGCTGCAGCTGTACATGACATGCAACTATCACGTCTGTCTCGTGATACTTTTGTGCCTTTGTTGCCAGCACAGCCTATTTTTAAGTAATAATTTTTCCTTTCTTAATCAATCAACATCGGTTCCATAATTCTGGATGAATTTCTCTTGACTCGTAAAGATTCGTCTTCCTTTTTATGAACATTTACAATAATAAATATTTCACATGATATAGTTGTTAGCTACATGTCACAATCTCTTAAATAGAAAAAAATCAGAAATAAGATTCTCTGTCGGAATCCTCCTTTTACCCTTAGCTTATGTAGATTACAAATTTAAAAATCCGTACGTGGGGTCGAACCTGAAATTCGTCAACTTGTTCCCGCATAAAATCACGCGACATTCCGTTAATTTTTGTGGTAATATTTGATATGATTTTTTTATCACTTATTTTGAAATTTATTTTTGTTTTCCGTTTTTCTTTATCACTGAAGGATCCTTTTTTACTTAAAATTTATTATATGCGCAGTCGAGTAATCGAAATCGAATAAAATCTTTTTTTGACAAATTACTGATTTACCAAGCTATTCACCATACTATGTTGGTATATATTTTTTAATGTAAAGTTAAGAGGTCTTTCACCTTTGCCGGGTGCAAAATTAGCTTATTTTTATGAATTTTTTAAAGAAACTCTGTTATATATAGAAAAATGCAAATTTTTATATATAATTTGCGGGGGGGGGAGAGAGAGACTGAAATAATTTTTTTCAAAATGGCTTTAAGAGTTATTCTACAAACATATGGGATTCAAAAAATACAATTTTTTAAAATCGATTTTTTTTTACCTTTTCAATGAGAAAAACCCCTTAAACCATAATTAAAATTGAGAAAAAACTTATTTAGAAAAAGAACATTGATAAAAATGTAACCAATCATATAAGAAAAAGAAAGATTATTTGAATACATTAACCGAGTGATGAGAAAGGAATAGAAAAAAATATATAGTTTTGCTTCTTCTCAGTTTTGCTTCTTAATGATAATTTTTAAATAATTGATATTGAGAATGCATTTTAGGTTTGACTGGTCTGGCAAAAAACCATTATTAAACAATGAAAAAGTATCATTACTTACACAACCGATAAGAAGTGGGACCGCACATGCAATTTTTATGTGGTGGGACTTAAATATGGACACAGATAATCAGGTAGGGAAGACCGGGATCAATAGACTATAGAGCTTTAGGAGTTAATTCTAAATAGAATAAGTGAGGCTACGTTACAAACAAATCGCTCAAGACATGCGTAAATGTATCTGAGCACGCACTAGCGATTGCCGCTCAGTCTGCTGTGATATCTCGAAGTCAACGCGTCTGTCATTGAAGTTACGCTACAATTTAAAAAAAATCGTACACGTAAGTAAATGTTTAGTAAATGTTAAGAAAAGGGGAACCACCTCCGTTAACCTTGATCTTGACATATGTTGTTAAGGTCGTGACCCTGAGTGACCTCCACCAGGTTTTAGGTGACGGTTGTTAAAAAGTTACGAACAAAAAAAAAGTTCAACTAGAATTGACTATAAATACCGGCCTGTTTCGCGTCGTGAAATTATACTGAATCTTTCATTTTTGCAGTTAAGACTGTCTTAAGTACAGTCTTAAAGATGTCCGAGCACTATATTAGCATCTTAAAATACTATTTAAGACAGTTTTAAAATAAAAACGGCCTATGAATACTGCCTCATGTTTAGCGTTTCACAGTTGGTAGCCCTTCCTCCTTATGAACAGTCCGTAGACAGAGAGAGTAGAGATTTAGAAAGAGACACTGTTCTATTGCACACACCATGTTATCCCTTCCACCATGGCTATGACTTAAGTTTTAAGTCTTAAGTTGTAAGAAATTGACCAATTTTCTTGTAGTATAACTTAAAACTTAAATAATGACTTATTGTAGAATGTCTATTATTCTCTATGGGAATGTCAGATCCATGAATTAATTGTTAAACAAAATTAAACGCTGCTACAAAAAAACATTCTCTATCCACAGTCGTCATTGGTCGCTGCATAATACTGCTGAAAAATACAGGCAATAGGAACAAATAAGAAATTTCAATATTTATCAGAAACTGTGTACTATGTGTAGAATATATATTTTCTGATACAAGTGCTAAATCTGTTATTCCCTAATTACAAATAAATGCCGAACGCAACTGTTATATGAATATAACAATAATATATAGATCTTATAAATGTTACAATATATAATATAACGGTTATCTACCTTTCACATAACATCAGTTATACAAACGTGTTTTTATTGAGATTATGTTGCCGTTACTTTACTGTAACAAGTACATGTCAAAATAATGCAACAGTTATATAATAATTATTTTGTAGCTATATAACAAAATATATATTATATTAATATCACTACGATATAACATTCTGTTATATTACGTGTTATTTCCAGGTTATATTATAGCTATACTCCGTGTTTGCTGGGTACGTATTTTCTATGAAAATCTTAAACCGATTAAGATCTTACAGGATCTTAAAAGATGTTTTCAGAACTTTAAAAGATTTTATGTGTTCTCACACAGGTACTTATGAGATCTTATATGAGATCTTATATGATTTTTACAAGAACTTATTAGATCACTTATAAATATGTATTTATAAGAATTTTCGGCAGGGAAGAGATTTACCTCAGTGGTAAATATAAATTTAGTTCCCTCACGTCCAATCTCGATAAAACTAAGCTCATTCGACGTGTTTTTGCACGAAATGAACGAATTTAGCAAAAAGAAGCATTGTTCTACTTTGCGAATTGAAATATTAATCGTTAAAGTTTGTTAGATTAGGAAATCTGTCATTTGCTGCGCCCTGGCGGTAAAAACGTTGATAGAGAACGATAGAAAAATCCTATCGCTTTGAATATAAAATTTGGTTCGTAAATTCACTAATTTGAATCAAATCTTATAGGAATCTTATACAAATCTTATAAAATCTGATAAAATACGATAGGATTCATATCCGATCAACCGTGATGCTCGCGAAGTCATCAACTTTTTCTTACCAGGACGATCTCTGTTCCATAAATAGCGCTGCATTGTCATTCTCTTTGAGATTTCACTCAAAAGAATTTAGAGAGTATTCTTTTTTTATTTTAAATGCACTTATATTGCGATAATTTTTGTAGTTTTAATGAATTTTAATAATAAAAATATGCAATAATAGTTAAACTATATATGTATAAAAAATTTTTCATGCATAAATATAAGTTTGTATAAACATACATAATATAATAAATTATATATGTTTATGAATATTTATACATAAAGATTCATAAATATAAATATTTATAAACATATAATTATATATGAAATATATGTTCATATATGTTCATACATTCTTCTTTCTTTTGTAAAATTACTTTTAAGTGAAATAGAAGTAGTAATAATAATGTGAAAACATTAAGAATAATTTTGTGAACATATGGGGTACATTCTAAATGCATAAAAAGCAACTTATTGTATTATGTTTGTTATAACTGCAATTTGGATAACGATTCGGATTAAATAAATTGTTATTTATCTAATAACAAGGTATAACAAAGTTATACATTTTTTATTTTTTAATAAATATATTTGTATTTAAAATACTTTTTTATGGAGGTTTTATTAATATGTAGTCAAAGCTGTACCTTAAAATATATATTAATCGTTAATCTTCATTTCAATAATGTTAATCAAATTACCCCATACCATTAGTTACCTTACCCCGATCCCGGGGCTAGTTGAATCAGATGGAATGCATTAGAAAAATGCATTTTTTTCATATTAGTTATCAGTTTCCTCTTATTATTAAAATATTATTAGATAGTTAAATGTATGTAGTAACTGGTGTAGAATTCATTTTTTCCATAAGTCTCTTAATTTCGTTTGTAAAAATTCGAAACTGAAAAATGAGTCTACTAGGCCTCGCCTAATTAACACGTCTATATATTATTTAAAAAATTTTTTTATGAATTTTAGTCATGTATCATTATTATAGTTGTTGCTGAGTTGTGCACCTGTATGGGAACATCCAAATGTACCTGATAACATGAAAAAAGATGTCTCATGTTTACAAAAGATGGTTGATTTAATACCGTGGAGGGATCACTGGATGCAAGCTGTCTATTACCTTCCAAAAGAAGTATCTATCACATATGGTACCGAGGTCAACCTTATCGGTTATCACGATGAATATTCCTTTTGGTTTAATCTATTGAATGGACCAGTGTAAGTTTCTATTTTTTCCTGTAGTAATTTCATTTACTGCATATTTCATATAATTTATAGTGTCGTTATCTTTTATTTCTTTTCTTTGAATTATTAGTCGCTTTTATAAAGCTGGCTATTGAAAAATAATTTTAATTATATATATCTATCATATAAAATAAAATTGAAAATTTTTCACAGAAATGAGATTCCAGATTGTCAGAGGCCCGAGTGCAATTGTTGGGCGCATATCGCGTATTCGCGAACGCGAATTGGTCAATTAAACGACACAGTTCGTAATCAGCGATATGTAAAGGCTTTGCGAAAAAAGATCACTCCAAACAGCGTTTGTCTCTGCGTTTCGGATGGTTGTCTCTTAGCCCTCGTGATTGCAAGATTTGGTGCAAAGGTGTTTTTATTGGAGCAGAATTTCTTATCGCGTAGAACGATGGAGATGTTCGTGCAAACAAACGAGCTCTCTGATCGAATAAAGATTGTCGAGTCGGTTGACGGTCTACCGGAGGCAAGCGAAATTGATTTCATTTTTGGCGAGCCATATTTCCTGAGCTCCATCGTGCCTTGGGAGAATCTGCGATTCTGGTATCTCGCTTCTAAATATCCATCGAGTATTGCGAGAATGCCGGCCATGGCGACGATCAGAGCTGTCGCTGTTGAGTTTAAGGATTTGCAGAAAATAAGAGCTCCTCTTGGCACTTGCGAAGGTTTTGATCTGTCCTCTTTCGACAAACTTATTCAAGTTGGTTTCGTTAGGTCATTCTTATCCTTTTTATAATTTATAAGATTAAAAAGAGATTGGTATTCTACTTTCAGATGTCCAGTGAAAAAAGTGACAATCCCGTAGAGGCGCAGCCACTTTGGGAATATCCTTGCAAAGCATTATCTTCAGCCTTTGATATCATAAAACTCGATCTAACACGGAATGTAAATTTCAATAAACGCAAGAGAATAACAGGAGAGATACCTATTTTAGAGTATGTATTGTATCAGGGAATGGAAGTAACTCGTTACTTGTAACGAAGTTACAGTTACAAGTTACTTTTTTGGTAACTTTACTAGTAACTGCGTTACTTTTTTTCTTT